ATATATCTAAATATGAAATAGCTTTTGATTTACACTTTTGTTAGGCTTTATTTATGCGATGTTCTGTTTACCGGTTTACTTTTCGAACAAGTGAGAAAACAAAATACTACACGTAAAGCTATTTTCGGCCTCATATTATATTGAAAATCTTTTGTCTTCTTTGAATTGTATACTTAAAGATAGTCGATCCAAAAGTTCGACTTTTATGCTTTGAAATTTGAATTTTCTTCCATAACTGGACACGATTCAGTGACTTAAAACTACGAGAAACCCTGAAATAGAACACAAATGGTGTTCAAATCCGAGATCTTTTGCTTACTGTAAGAAAGAAGCCAAAATCCCTCAAAATTGGCATGTAGTTAACTGAATCTACTATGACAATTCCTTTCTTACCCAGATAGCAGTTGTTGATTCAGAAGACACAGGGCTTGATATTTTTGAGTCTTTATTGTTTATGAGGAAAGCGATATGATAACAGTTACAGACGAAAAACACAATTAGTAAATCAATTCCTTCCCTGAATCACACAACATAAACTTAAGCTATAACTCAGCTGAAACTCTTTATGCTTTACACAGATTTGAGTTAAATGAAGAACTCAAGAGTCAGGTTCTTGAACTTACAAGAAGAATCAAACCCAGCTTTCTAACTAACTGAGTGGTCAACAAGTTATTTTGTAGCATATGTACTCATCATCTCATTTGCTAGTTATCTCCGGTCAATAAAGATCTAAATCCAATACAGATATCGAAATTCTCCCATTACAACTATAGAAGAAAGAAACCACATCAATTCTTCACATACCCTGCCAAAAACTTCTAATTTTTAAGTACCACTTAACAAGCTTAGAAACCCCAACTTTATCCTACAATCTCCACAATCTTCAGTCTATCACACACCATTCAACACTTGCAACAAAATTAGATATCAATTACTTCAACATTGCTAGCCAAACAATACCAAATTACAATAAAACTACCATAAAGACTTCTACTGTAAACAACAACATTACAAAACAAAACACACAAGAATAAGATTTCACTTGCATCTGAATTTCAAACTCCATTTATCAAGATCCGTTTTTTAAAAGCGAAAATACTTGAATCAGGTCTTGATGTCACTAGTGTCTCTAGCACACCTAGTAATGATGCTGCATCCTCTACTGTAAGAATTAGCCTGTCCAGAGCGACAAGCGTAGTAAGAAGCGCCTGGTTTCTGACAAGGAACCATGTCTCTCCTTAGAGTTGCGTAGCTTATGTACTGTTTCCTCATCATCATTACTCTCCTGCTTATCTCCGATGGCATCATCGCCGTCTCCTCCTCTCCGATTACGCCGTTCCGGTTAAGCATTGCGCCGATTTCTCCGTTCACCGACGGAATCGGAACAGCGAAGGAGATAGAGAGATGGGTCTGAAGGTAGAGTAAAGACAAGTAAACGAAAGCTAAAGATCTCGACATTGTCGGTGTTTGAAAGTTTGGTAGATTTGTGTGATTGATTGATCTCTGCGTTACAAACAAACTCGTCCAAGTAGCCTCGCTCTCGTGTGGGTTAAACCGGTCGGTTTAAGATAGATAAGAGTCCATGTGAGAATTGTTAACGTCAAGTATTTAATTAATCAAAAACATTTTTTTCTTTTTTAATAAGAGTTTCTCTCCAATTTTTTTTTTTTATTAAATTATTGTGGTCCACTAGCAAACACTTGGTTCCTTTGAGAATTCATGATTAATTGTTGTTTTTCATTTCCAACTGTACTAAATTCTGATTTTTTGTTATATCCTAAATTTTGTTTCTCATAACTAATTCTTTTAAGGGTTAATTTGCTAAAACAAAAATTAACAAATGTGGCAAAATATCAAACATTAGATTTAACCATTTAGGTTAAAGAGTTAGGATTTTTATTGTAGTTTTTTTTTTTTAGTTATTGAATGTAATTTCCCTTCTTTTAAAATAAATCGTTATAAAAAGTAGAACAAAATTTTCAAAGTAACATGTTAATGTAGTGATATGATTAGAATACTCCAACCGTCCATATAGTTTTGAGGGTTATTAACTCATGATGAGTAAATGTGTGGGGTTAGGGGAGTAAAAAAGATGATTATAAGGAGTCAGTGTAAATGCCACCAAACAAGTTTCAACAACCCAACTAAATCTGCTGAGCTGTGTTTTTCATTGACCCACACACTCTGTTTTTCGCTTCACACCAAAGCATCAATAATTATATTCACATCATTGCTCAAACCAAACTAAAGATAAAGCAAGAAATTGGGAGATAGAAATCATGTTTAAGTCATCAAACTTGTCATGTGTTAAAAATCTCAAAATAAAGTATTACTGAGCTAAACCAAAGGTGAACCGGGTCTTAATTTGGTACGTTTTTTTCCTCAAGCAAATTTCATTTATAACAAATACTTATAGTCCATAGTCATGGTACTCCCTTTTAACTAACTGGTTACCTACAACTACAAGTACATTCTGCAACAGCATCATATGTAGAATGGGAGGAAGCAATATTAGCTACATGGTCAGCACAAGAATTAGCTATCCTACCTTTGAAACAGAAACTTGGTTGCAAAAAAAACAGAGCAGAAATCAAAACGACTACACAAAGACAGAGTTATATATAAGCACCATTGTTGTTCATAGCTGGGATCTATGAAATCTGATCACAGTCCGCCATCACCACGACTTGAACTCTGATTTGACAATTTCCTTCTTGCAATGATCATATATAGAGTTATCAATATTTTTGTTTTCCTTCTATTTTTAGCTTATTTAACGTAAACCTAATGATGATGATTCCATATCCTATTTAGGAGTTCTAGAGACAGTGGGATCTCCTTCTTCTTATTTACGAGCAATTGATCAGTCTAACAAAACCGTGAAGAATCAGATACAAAAAGTGTTATCAAAGATGCTCGTACCTATAGAGAAGAGAGAAGAGATGACTACTCACAGTTTTCGTGTTTTTGTTTTTTTCTGAAACCTAGGATTCGTTCTCAGGATCTAAAATGTTTTGTAACTTCAGGATCTCTATCTTGGATCCGATGCAGCAGCCAGTAACAAAAATGTCTTGAAATCTTACAACGTTACACATATCTTAAACCGTAGCTATATGATTTTGTTGTATACGAGGTTCTTTTTTTTTTTTGTCACAATATACGAGGTTGTTCAAGGTATAAGATATATGATATATGATTAAGGTGTCACATTACTGTTTTGTGCCCTTTGGAATGGAATGGCCTGCAACTAAATTGATGAATGAGTGGATTTCACGAACCGCCCTCTTAATCTGGAATGAAATTTGCAATGAGCGAGTGACCAAAAATTAAGGTCAATAGTATCTAAACAATCATTGTTTGTGTGGCACGAAAGCTCTAATTAGAAAGACGATCAAGATATTTGTCTAAAATAAATATCATAAATTTGGTTCATCACATCATTTGTTTTAATAGTACTTGATTCTTATACAGAAGATTTCCCATAAACCAAGCCAGAAATCAATAAAAACGACGAGAGACAATAGTCTAAATAGATATATCAATAACATAACTACGAAATCTGACCGCAATCGTGGATAACCACATGCTTAGAGGGCTGTCCGTCCTCACCTCCAAACATGCTAATGATCCTCACCAGATCCAATCCTTCCACAACTTGACCGACCACGACGGACGCTCCTCCAATAATATGAAGAAATAAGCTCCGTTGGTATTTGGACCACCGTTAGCCATGGAGACAATACCTGGACGGTCATGGCTCCTCTCGTGGTTCTCGTCTTCGAACGGCCCACCGTAGATCGAGTCCATTAGAGCCCGGTTACGAGCGGGGTTAATCCCTCCATAGATCGTAAAATCAGGGGCAATATCGTCGAAGGTTGTTCCCTTGAAGTGGAGTGGTATGCCAGACCGTGTTCCGATTCCTCTCTCGCCGGTGCAAAGGCATCGGAAATTCTCCGCCGTACGTGGAACCGTGTCGGCGAAGAGCTCGATCACGATCCGACCAAGCCGTGCGCCGTCTTTGGCATTTTCGGAAGATGGGTTATTTAGGGTTTTATACTTTCTACTGTTTTTTCTAAAACTTCACACTTGTAAATATATATAGTGTAGGCTGTGTAGCTCACTATTCGATTTTTTTCCTTTTTTAAATCTTTTTCAATTAAATGGCTTGCCTATTTAATGGCTTTGTATTCAATATGTAAATATATATTTCCAATGTTGGAAGAGAATAAAAGAATAGAACAAAATCTGGAAAACTCTTCTTTATTCTCGATAATTTGTGCATCAAGACCATATACACAC